CGCATTTTTTGTAGTCTCTGGGACCATTGTTTGCTCATTTGCGGACTCAATTCTTCGTCTTATCTCTCTTTTATTTTCTCTAGTCTGGGGCGTATGCTATACGGATCTACAACAATATTTTCGTGAATTTACTCGACTTGTGTGTCTTGTCCTAGTCCGCATGGCGGTTTTACTCTTATTGCTTATCGTGGGAATTGACTATTGTAGTGGCTTGTAGTCAGTGGCTGAGGTGCGGGCCGCGTCGGTTTGGATTCCTGGACTCTGATTGGCTCCTGCGTTCTATGACATAGGCTCTCTGCAGGTTCACCCGATCTGCAGAGCCATTACATCATTGGTATCTGGAATTGATTGCAGGCTGTAGAAGGGCCAGAAAAATTGTGAAAAATGCGGGAAATCCATAATATATTCAGAGCTCTATAGCAAGTCAAGGAATATACAAGATGATCCTGAGAGGTCTAGTGAAATTCAAATAATACTTCAAGAAAGATAGGAATATTTGTGTCAGCTCTATGATATACAGTGTAAAATAGGGAGTATCTTATGCCCAACTCAGGACTCGTAACCAGCCATGCACAGCATTGGCCCACTCCCCCCAATAGATTCGCACCATAAGCTGAAGGTTTTATTGCTTTCTATCAGTGGTTCAATGATACAGAGTCTCTAACTCGCTTCCGTGAGTACTTGCTCAGCAGACGTTGGCTGGCGCTGTCACGGTATCCCCTCCCTCTCGCTTCCTTAGCCTCCCATTCTGGTCATAAGTCCGACCTATTCCTGGCAACAGCTGCAACACAGTACGGCTTTGTGAACAGGTGTCGTTCCCGCTCTGTTTTCCGTGATTATTCCTGTCTTCCTCAGGGCTTTACATCCTTACGCCTCGCTGTAGCCGTTTTATCCCGTCTGAGGATGGGGACTTGCCATGTGTTGAATATATATCATCGATTTTCACTTGCGTATACCCTAGTTAATAGCTGCCTGGTATGTATGGCTCCTCTTCTCGACGCTTGCCACCATTGCGTCGACCACAATTCTGCTGCTTTACGTTGCGTTACAAGCCCGGGACCATAGCCGCGAAGTCACCCTCGACGGACTCGGACGGATAATGCGAGGCGCAACGAGTAATCAATGACTGGATGGTAGACTGGTGACATGTAAGTCAGCACTCTACCCCCTCGTACTCGGTAAGTAGTTCCGCTCTATCCGCGAATCGCGATCGGCCTTCATGATATAAAGCCACTGGAGGGAGTAAAATATTGTATTAGGGTGGTCCGCATATTATAGCTCGTGCATGTACAGTAGCCTTCCAAGATAACCACATCAAGAACAACAAGGAAATATTCCAAAGATCTACCGCGTCTCGTCATTGAAGCGGTATGGAACGCAGGATTCCCGCCCCTCGGCCACCAAACAGCTGAGGGCAGCAGATCCTGCGGGCCAGTCTCCGTCTCCTTCAATGGTAGAGATATTTCCCGGAGCTAGAATTTTTGGTGGCCGCCTGATGCTCGACCCCCGTTCCCAGCCAAGTTAGCTGGAGCATTCAGCGTAGTAGCGGTCAAGTGCGGGGCGCTCTGGAACCCATTTCGAGTGAGTCCAGAGACTCGCGCTTCTGCGAGGCGAAAAGCGTGCGCAGGGCCGAAGAGAAAGAAGGACTAGGCAAGCACCCCATATCACACTGAGTTGCACATATCGATATGAAAACGCAGAAGGCATGTACGCACTCGATGAACAAAATGATAGCTGCATACGCCCCCGGTAGGAACCCGTACATAGCCCCGCTCGCGACCCAGACAGCGTATGTCCCGTATGCGCTGATCCCACCGTCGCGCGTGACGAGGAAGTCCGCCGCGACGGCTATGGTATTGACGACGACTATGTGCCTTGGTGATTAAGGATTGCGAAGCAGAAGACGAGAATAGCAGGATAACCGGGGTGAAACGCGACGCACCCAGGACAACGGGGTAAAACAGGATTCTCCATGCTGCTCTTCTGGCAATGCTCGCATTGCCCACGACCGAGGTCCCCCTGTGCCGTCGTCTGGAACTGGCATTCGCATTTCCCGCTGACACGCTGTTACCCAGAGTCACCTCACAGCGAACCACCTTGCTCCGCGCGTGCTTAACCAGATGTGCGAGGACCACGATGGTTGAAACGCTCGCGACGGCGGTGGAGATGACGAACCACGCGTAGGACGCACCGACCTCCCAGGCGGTGCGCGAGCGCGGGTTGGTGGCGGAGATCCAGCAGATAAGCGTCTCGGGATCCCATCCCCAGATGCGCGTTATGCCTGTCGGTTCAAGTTATACGTGAGTTGAGGAGGGAAGAGAGGAGATGGGGCGTACACCCAGGGAGCGCCGTCATGGTGGACGCCGCAAGGGAGATGACGAGGTACCAATGCACGAAACCGTCCGTGCGGACACTGTGGACGAGCACGAGTTGTAGGTGAAGTGGAATGAGCATGATCATGAAGTTGATGAAGTTGTCTGGAGGGTCACGGATCTGGTTAGCGTGTGAGACGGCAGAGCGCAGGAAGGACATACTAGAAAACAGAGCGATGATGATGATGGCATCGCACCATTTTGTGGGACCCGTGATGAGTACCTCCCCACTTTCACCACGCTTACATTTGAGCACATGTAGCCAGCGGGAGATCGTGCGGAAGGAGTGACTCACAGATAGGTGCCACTATACGCCAGACTCATGAGCTGTACCCAGAGGAGCATCCGCAGAGTCTGCCTGCCAGGAGGCGGCCGTGTCTTAGGGCTGCGCCATACCACGAGCGCCAGAGCCAGGACGACGATTGCGGATACAAGAGAAAAAATTGTCGGCACCACCGCAGTCCATACCACCACGCGTTGCTTGTCTGGACTCCAGGTGAAGGAGGAGTTGGACATTTGCTGGTGTACAGAGGTGCTTCCGACGAGGAGGAGGATGTAGCAAGCTCACACTAATTGTGTGAGTATATATGGAGGACCCGTGGGTTTCGTCGGTGCAATGCACGCTGCGAGAGCTCAATGCCCAGACAGATGTCGAGGCGACCGCCTTCGTCATGGCGGACGGCATGGTAAGCTCTACCATGTGGGCTAGTTGACAAGACAGCCCGTTCTCCGCGAGGCGATGAAGTCTTGAAGCTTGACCTCTTGATCGCCATCGTCGGAAGGCAGTGCGTAGGAACTGCCAGGAAGGCGGTGCCGAAAAGCGCTTCTTGCCTATATTTCCTGCATAGTTTACCGAAGAACTGACCGATGTATCCAGCGTAGTGGCTCCATTCGATCCTCATTCGACTCGGCCAGAGAACTCGATGTTGTCAAGCCTCACCGTCTGGGAACTCTTTCTCTCCTTGTTCGCGAAGTAGTTGGAGCGATAGTGCGCCCTCCGCGAGGCAATATGCTCTTGACCGCCTTCGTCGGGGAGACAGAGCGCAAGAACAGCTCAAATACCCATCAAAGCCACCCCGAGTCGTCGCGAAACTCCACATTTCGTGTCTGAAGTTGACTTGCAGCGATTTCCTGACGGCATAAATACCGGTCTCCGTCGGGCCCGATACCTGTCCGGCGAGCCCGCACTACGCCGGGCCGCTTTTGGTAAACGAAGTGCTTCATATGGTAACAGTGCTGCACACGGACCACGTCGTTCAAGTTGCAGGCATCCACCCGTAAGTAGGACAGTGCCGCATCTACCCCCTTCACGTTTCGAATGTAGCATAGCACTACAGGGGTCGATTCCATCATGGAAATGATTTGAGCATGCGAGCCGTCGGTGTGCTTGCCACCTGCACAAAATCGATGTCGGCAACTTTCAGGTGTATAACCGGACGGCTCGAACAACCTCCATAATGTCAGAATGACCAAGAGCTTGGGGAAGAACACATTTCGTTAATGTTTCGAGAACAATGCAACAAGAGGTCTGAGATGGACCATGCATACGGTCGGGTCTGTCAGAACCCATACCTCTCACAACCCATAATCTGCAATAACCCATAGGATTTGGTGGTCCACGCAGTTGGTTCCCTTTTAAAAGCCTACAGTGCTTTGCATATGAAGCCGGGAAGCGCGTCTCGCAAAATGTTATTTGTCTCTGTTTGTCCCGCCGACGCCAACCTATAAGGGGCACTCGATGACGGCAAGTTGGGTGCGCCAGGCATACCCTACCGGAACCATAACACATGAAAAACTCATAACATATGTGACCAACAACACTGTAGCGTATATGAGCTTTGTTTATCCCAACAAAGCTCTGAAAGAAGTCACAACCGCGGTCGGGCACAAAGCAAAAGCAAAGCAGCCTGCCGTGAGTCAGTGATGGAAATACCCCATATAGGTTTATTTGGTGCAGCCAAACAATATTTTGCGAAATATGCAAAGCACTGTAAGTCTGTGATACCCAATAAACCATGAATTTTAGGTGGTCATAACCCATAATCTGGTATATTATTAGCACGTAATGGGGCCTCTCGACCTATAAATGCGTGTCACTATGGTCATGTATGGTATAAAATGCCATTCATATCCTAACCTCGTCCCACAGTGCGTGCAAATTGTCGCTTCGTTGATGGTCGGGACTTACCGACGGGGTGAGGCCGTGTCACGTTGACTATAGTGTCACATGCTGTCACAGGTGTAGTAACCCTTATTTAATCTGTGATAGCCCATAACTTTTCAGGTCCACGGACCGGTATGGGTTTTGCAGACTCGATTGTATGTGCAGCTGACTAAGTTGTGACGCTGAGTCGAATCGAACCACTGTACTGGCCAAACGGTCATTAGGTGATATTGCTGAATGTGCGGGAAGTAATGCTGCATGCAGAGACTTTGATTGACCCCGTGACAAGTCTCTCACAAAATCAGCACACCAAACTCAACATTCGACACGACTCGGCGTTCAAGTTGCAGGCTTGGCTACAAGTCGACTCGCCGATATGCACACGAGCCTGTCTTCTACACCCAACATGATTACGCCATCCGTAAACTATAGTAATATCATTGTACAGTACAATTTTCCCGGACGACCCGCCAAGAACCCAGGCATCCACTCCCCTCTACAGCTGACCAATATCCGCATCTACCCGAGTCGTGTCGCTATCATCGGTATCGACACGCAAAACGCTCGGTCTCCTCCGGCGTCCGACACAACTCGCCCCTCTGGGCCGTCCGACATGAGGCGCAGGAAGACCATCTTCACGACTCTTCGTATCCTCCGGCAAATCTGTGGCCGCAGAAGACGGCGAATCATCTTGGCGCCCCACGCCGTCTTTTGCGTCCTCCTGGTCGTCCGGCACGCCATCACTTACCACCTGAGTAATCAGCTCGATCTCGATCCTCGTAGTCGCAGCCAAGTCGCATTTACGCTGACGGCGCGGGAACCCCATCTCCAGCGAGTCCAGCGAATCACGCTTGGGCGGGGAGAAGAGAGTGCGCAGTGCACAGGAGAAGGAAGGGCTAATGAAATAGACTTGATAGATGAGTGGAGCAGAGGGGGATAGGCGAGGAAAGCACGCACTCGACAAACACAGCAATAACCGCATACGCCCCCGGCAGGAGCCCGTACGCGCACCCGCTCGCCGCCCACACGACGTATGTCCCGTATGAATCAATCCCGTTGTCGCGCGTGATGAGGAAGTTGGCGGTGGCGGAGATGCAGTTATTGATTACTATGCATCGCGCCAATTAGGGGACGCGGTAGGATAGGATGCTCAAACAGGTACCGGGGGACATACGCACCAAGGATGATAGGATACAACAAGATCCTCCATGCAGCCCGTCTCACGATCCTCGCATTACCTCCTATCACACTCCCCCGTTGCCGTCTCGCACTCCCACCCCCGCTTCCCGCACTATCACCGAAGGTTACTTTGAACTCCACCACCCTGCTTCTCGCATGGCGTACCAAATGCCCAAGGACGATGAGAGTTGATATGCTCGCAACGGTCATGGAGATGATGATCCACGCGTAGAACGCGCCCACCTCCCAGGCGGTGCGCGTGCTCGGACGGGTGGCGGTCACCCAACAGATAAGAGCCTCGGGGTCCCACCCCCAGATACGCTTGATGCCTAGAAGACGGGATTGAGTTGAGAAAGGGATACAGCCGGAGAGGGGAAGTTGCGTACATCCAGGAAGAGCGGTGACGACCGCGGCACCGAGGGAGGCGAATAGGTACCAACGAACGAAGCCATCGGTACGGATGCCATGGACGAGGGCGAGCTGGAGGTTGATCGGGATTAACATGATCGTAAAGTCGATGAAGTTACCTGCGGAGCAGCAGCGTCTAGTCAGCGCTCACGCAGAAGCAGGGCAGGTACATACTGGCGAAAAGTGTAAGGATGATGATTGCATCGCACCATTTCGTCGGTCCTGTGATAAGCATCTCACCCCTTCGCAGCACTCATACGTGAGTCCACATACCTTATCGCCAAATCATCCGGGAATGTGACTCACAGGTATGTCCCGCTATACACCAGACTCATGACCTGCACCCACAGCAGCATCCGCAGACTCTGCCTGCCCAAGCTGGGTCGCGTCGTAGGGTTGTGCCATATCGCGAACGCCAGAGCCAGGACAACGAGCGCCGCCACGAGCGAGAAGATCGTCGGGACAACCGCGGTCCACACCACTACGCGTTGCTTATCTGGACCCCAGGTGAAGGAAGAGATGGGCATGTACTAGTGTACAGAGGGGACAGGTTGGCGAGGAGGGCGGGGTAGCAAGCACATGGGGATAGGGAAGATATGGTGGATGGGTGGGTATAGTCGGAGGAACGGTCGCTGCGAGAGGGTCGAGGGCCACTCAAGGCCCAAATAGATGGTGGACTTGGCCGCCTTCGTCGGGAGGTAGAGCTAGATTGAAGGACCGCGTCGCTGCAGAATCAGGTAGGCCAGGAACGAGGCCGCGGTGGCAGAGCTGTACGTGGTGCGGCAAAAATGATATGTTGAGTGTGCCTTGTATTACCCAATCAAAACAGGGAAAGTCGCCGGCGGACGTCGCTCGTAGGAGTAATATCGCTCGTACCCAGGTTTCGTCGGTAGTCGAGAAACCCCGCGGGAAGCATAGACGCCTTGAGTGAATAAGACCTATTGATAGCTCAAAGGCACGCGGCTTCGTGGTGTACACGATAGCCTTTCGCTATAGCAAGGTTTACAAGTTGGATTGGACTGATGGTGATAGTCAGCTTACCCGCCAGTACGTTAAATGACATATAGTTGCGGTTCTGCACCTGCGGCACACTGTGCAGCCGACGACGAAAGTTGTCTCTGCCGTATGAAGCCGTGAATGGGAGGATATCTCATGATGGGTCGATCTCAGAACGTGTGCAATAGCACGTCTCGCTGAGACAGAGTCCACATACGGAGAAGAAAAAGCTAATAGTGAGCTAGGTATATATCCACTGACGAAGGAGGATCGTACCGTTGTCTGCCAAGATGATAGGTAAGGGACTGGTATGTATTTGACAACGAACGACGAGCTTCCAGGAGTGATGAAGGACTTTGTCCTAGTACCGACCAGTCTTCGAGCTAGAGCCTCGAATCGTGCAGAACAAACGGCTCGAGACTGTAGTGCCAGTGGATCCCAGATCGAACTGAAAACACCCAACCTGTACATCATCCATACGGCTCTGGGATGTGTTTGGCTTCCAAATTTGCTACGTGGTCGGTCAAGCACTTCATGAGTATTAGTCAAGCATCCACACGAACCGAACTGGAAGGAGGCAGAGAGCGAGCGTCGGGAAAGAGACACCAAAATTTCCCACAAAAAGGCCAGCTTTGGATAAAACTTCGCGACTGAGTTCACTGCCATAGCCGAAATCTCGATGGGGAGGACTCAGTCTGGGCGATTTGGTGCCAGAATATAAGAAGTAAAGATGAGGTAGACGAGGTTGGATACGTAGCAAAACTGGCTAGCCCACAGTCTGCCCCGCCCGCCAGAGGCTCGGCATACTCCGATGATCTTTGATTCTGAAATATTAATCCGCCTGCGGTCTCAACGACTCACGACTCACGACTCACGACTCACGAGGGACAACAGCTTCAAACCATGGAAAATACTAATCTAACGTGTACTTACTCTATAAATATTCCTGTTTTATCCACCTGTTTCGGATCAATTTTATCCTTCTACAGCTGAGCAATATCCTGGTTCAGCATGTCATCCATCCGCATTGCCTCCGTCTCTGCCGTTTCTTCAACACTCTCACCTAGGTGCGTTCCATCTACAGGCTCTAAGTGCCCGATTTCAAGGATGGTATGCACCTCCGAATGCTCCTGAGCACACTCATATCGTATCTGCCGACTCCTTTGCGCCTCTTTCCCCCCTGATGCCTCTATGGCTTCGCCAACTACCTGCGTCGTCAGCCAAATCTGAACAACCTGCTTGTGGCGCGTAGAACATTGCCCAACAAGTCCTCGCTGAGCTAGGAGGGTACGGAGGGCATGGGTGAAGCTGGGGCTAATTGAGTATTATTGGGCCATTACATGCGGAAATAGGTCAGAGGGAATAGCAATAACAAAGACAGAAAGACGCACTCAATGAATAAGGTAATAAGAGCGTACGCGCCGGGAACCAGTCCATACAATACACCTGAGACCACACAGAGGGCATATGTGGCGTCTGACTTGATTCCTCCCGAACGTATTATGGTGAAGTTACTAATCTCTGAAATGCAGTTTACGACAACTGCGGAGGCCATTCAGTAAGTCCGTTTATCTAACGAGTCGAAGCACACACTTAGGACCGAAGGGTACAGCGTTATCTTAGATGCCACTCGTTTCACATCCAGCCAGTTACTGTGAATCATCTTTCTATGTACACCCTGGCCGAGGTCATGCTTCTGGCTGCGGGTGTGGACCACAAGGTAAAGCAGGACGGCGGTAGTGGAGATGGTAGCGACACCCATCGAAAGGATGAGCCAGGCATACCATGCGCCTACCAACCAGGAGATACGAGCACGCGGTTCGGTGATAGCTATCCAGCAAAGTTGTGTCTCAGGATCCCATCCCCATACAGGTTTGATGGCTTCGTGAAGGATCGGGATCATACCAGGGTTATTTGAAGTGAGAATCAGCATATGAAGGATGCACGTACATCCTGGAAGTGCGGTGGCAATCGCGGCGCCGAGGGAAGCCAGGAGGTAATACCGAACAAACCCTTCGGTACAGACGTGGTGAACTATGAAAAGTTGGAGATTCACGGGAATGAACATGATCACAAAGTCGATGAAGTTGCCTGTGAGCTTCGTGAGCACTACCCCTCGAGTGCCTAAGACTGGACGCACTAGCAAAGAGGGTAATAATGGTCACAACATTGCACCAGACGGTGGGACCGGTGATGAACATCTGTACCCTTCCGACGATATTGATCACGACGACTGGACGGTATAACCTCAAGACACTCACAAGTACGTCGAGCTATACATCAAGCTCATACCCTGTACGCAGAGTAGCATCTGCAGACTCTGTCTGCGCAAATTGGGTCGAGTCTGAGGATTGATCCATATGGCAGAAGCAGCAACCAGAACAATCACAGCGGTCACCAAGGAGAAGAAGGCGGGACCTACACCCGTCCATAGGGCGGTAGTCTGGGTCCATTTTCCCCAAGCGAACGTCGGGTGCATGCTTGAGATGAGGGTGGAGCGAAGGTCACTGCAGCGAGAGAGCAGATGATATAAGGGGGAGTTGCGCTGCTATGCAAAATGTTAAACAAGGGCGGACAGGACAGAAACACACTGAATTAGAGACACTGTACGTTGAATCATCAACATACAATTCCAGGAATGTCAATGCCGTGGCTGAGTGTGGTATTCTCGATAAGTAGCGGAATCATTCCCGAGTTTCTCTTCATAGCGGACTTCCGACTGCCACAAGGTCAACGCTTGTCAGGGAAGATTTTCATTTCTCTGGATCTTCGCGCAGTAAGCAGTGCTTTATGCTCTATTGCACGATCGCCAGAGTGAACCTAGGCAAGAGTGCCCCTGTGAGCTGTGCCTCGTCACAGCCCTTGAGCTCCTTTGTACAGGGAATCCAAAAGGACAATCAGCAGACGAAGGTCGTCAACTTCGTGATGCGACAGCTGTGAGTCGTGGAATCTGTACCAGGCTCCAGTACCGCGCCCGTGCCCACCGCATTACATACACTGCGTGTCCTGAAAAATAATGGCCAGCCGTTACATGGCCGATTGTCCACTTTCCGGCCACTTTTAGGTCAGAGTTCTCGGCCAGCCAAAATGTGGCTGTTTGTCCACTTTCCGGCAACACATTTTGGCCATGAGATTTCGCCCAGACAATACATGGTCATTAAGTTGACTGTTGCAATGGCCGTAAAGTTATCACTGCATATTTCAGACAGTATGTTGGCTGGCCAAAATGTAAATGCTAGCTAATGGCTGTCCATTTGCCTGACCAGGAAGTGACAGTCCGAAAAATGGCCGGAATTCAATAAGCCATCCAGTTTCCAGCAATTTAACGGCTGGCCTTGAGATAACCCCAACACGCAGTGATAAGGGATCCACAGGTACCTGGCAATACAATCTATGAATGTCGCCCAGACAGATTCGTGTGCTCCAGCATAGCGCGCACCGACATAGCGTAAGACGTGCCCACCATTTTGGTAACTCAATAAACTATGCCGAGCATCGCCTCGACCTTCTAAACCTAATATAAAACCTGATCCCAGAAGGTCGTGCCACATGTACACCAGCACACCACTGGTCCTTTAATGGGACCCATATACTTCAACAGGCATCCACGAGCCTGCCTTGAACGAGCCGAATGAGATTCAGGATTGTGGTCAGTTATATCAGAGAGTAAGATAAGCATTTGGACATTTCCATACCATACGAGTAGCTGAAGAGAGCGAGAACCATGGTTTACCGCGAGTCAGAAAAGGTATCTGCAAGCCAAGAGCTGTAATAGATCGGGGACCTGTGTAACTTGGTGAGCTGTGCAATAATATACGGAGGAAGGGAGAGGGGCGCATAGCAAGGACTTATGGCACATCAAGTGTGGTCTAGAGCGTCTGCTGACTGCCTGGAAGCGGCAAGGGTTCCACAGAGCACATTGAGTGTAGACCAATGGCTATAGGCAGTGAGAATATCTGGCATATACTTGCGGCGTCACTCTAAGTACCAGGCATACTCTTGACAGAGGCCAATGATCAGGCCAAAGTTCATCCCCGCGGCGGTAGTCAGAAGAACGAGGAGAGAGTAATGTGAGTCGACCTTCATATATAGTCGGAGCCGGAATATATTGCTAAACTTTATCATAGGGAGTTTAGGTAGGCAAAATAGCTGTTTCGCACCCTCCATGATGTGCAGCAATCACTTCGACTGCAGAAGCAAGACCATGGAAAGAAACAGGCCGAGATAGACTGTCGACTCTCGAGGTCAACAGAAGTGTGTAAACTTGAATGTGTGAGATCACCAAAGTCACCTGCAGCTCGGCGCCGGGCCTTCGACCCCGAGACGAAATGCAATCCTCCCTACAAAGTTGAGGACGCAGATTATGTAAGCGAGTCGCGCAGCGGCTCGCAAAGTGGACGCGGAGCCATTGCAGCGGATGCGCCCAGACGGTTGCCTGACTAACATACTATCTTATTTTTGGCCATTGCTGGTGTGCCGCTAGTGTAGCGGTTAGTGCGATGGGTTGTTTCAGATGCAATGATGTGAACTCGAGGTTCCATCCCACCCATGGACAATATTTTTCACTTGTGATGATTCTAGTTGTCTTCACTCCGTAACGCAACTTGAAAATTTTCTTTTGTTCTCTGTCTCATCATGCAGTCATTGCAAGGCGCTGATATTGATGACATTTTGGCACTTTGAGTCCGGACAAGGGCCAATCTATACACAAAGCCTTCACTTGGGTATTATTTATACTTTGGGGTTCAGTTTCAAAAAATTAAAGCTACATGTGTACTGATATACAAGCCATTCAACTTCTCATGATCATAGGAGGTGGTGTTACCGGTGTACGAAGAAATTGCAGTGAGTACACAACCTCCTCGGATTCCCATTCCGAAGCGAGTCGCCCCGACTTCAGACGAAGTCCCTCGCGACGCTGCGGGGTTACCGCACAGTGTCTCGACCTTCCATTTATAGCGACTCGCGTCCTTAACTTTGTAGGGAGGATTGCACTTTCTGACCCCGAGCCATCCGGATCCGGCTGGAACACCCTTTGGTCTTCCTCGTCTCTCCTTATACAGCAAGTGACAGGTCTGCTGTACTCTGCGTCAATAGCTTCTATCTCATCGTACTCAGGCTCAGAAAGCAGAGAAATAATGTCGAATGCCCGGACATCCATAAAATATTTGTTTTACTAGGTGCACAGCTTAATCGATAATGAGGGTCGTCTCTGCAGATACGTGGGTACCTGGCAGGATTCGATCTTGCCGGTGGGCTATACCTATGGCTTAGAAAGAGTATTGGGTGAATGAGGCTACTTATCACCGAGACTCGAATCGAGTCCATATCGCATGCCTGGCATCATCTGGAAAACCCTCCGCTGCAAACTATATAAAACTTCACGAAACTTGACACGATTATCCGTAAGTATCATCTTTATTTCATTTTCTCTGATTATAAACAAAAGGCTAGCCCCAGACTGATTTTGCGTTGCTATGTGAAGTTACCGTGATTTATATCGCATTATCCATTCATTTTTAAGCCATTCCCGCCGATTAAATGATTAGACATCAACATTATATTGCAATTGCTCAATGCTACAGTAGTAGAGAAGACAAATTGAATCACGACCGAAGCATACAAACTCAGTCCAGCCCGGAGAGATCCATCAGAGTGATGGCCGAATTCACGACATCCCCCCCAGCACGATCGTACGTAGCACCCCTGCAGCCAGTGATAAGCGTAAAGTAAGGTGAAGGGATACTTAAATGTACCGTGCTGTCTTGAAGAGATACGCCATTGTTTCATGGTAGAACTTCGGCGAGGTCTTCTGTATGTGCTTGAGGGTGTCCTTGTGAGCAGTATAGACCGCGGCAAATCGGTTCCCGCTGAAGTCGAGCTGCATAACTGTACCCGAGCTCCATTCATCGATCGCGGCGTGAATCTAGAAGCATCGGAGACAGGGATCATGTTAGTATGTCATGGAGAAAACATGCAGGTACTTACTGCCGTCGACACGAGAGCTAACATTGCCAGTGGGACTTCCTTCTCGTCGGGATAATCCTTTGAGCTAGATTCGAATAATTGGATATGACCACTTGCGAACGAGCTTCGTCCTGTAAAGATAGCTTGCTGTAAGACATTGAGACCGCCGATGACGGTATGGCTCTTTGCTCTTGAAGCG